TTCGTAAATAATAGAGACACAGTCTTGCTGTGTTGCCCAGGCTTGTGTTGAACTCCTGGGCCCAAGTGATCCTCCCTTGTTGGCTTCACAAAGTGCTGGCATCACAGGTGTGAGCCACAACGTCCAGCCACGAGAAGGGTATTGAAGTGCAAAAGCAAAGTGTTTGGCAAGCCTCTCAGCACTGTGATGGGGCATGCCCCAGGCGGCTGTGGGAACAGAGGGGTCCCTGACCAGCCAGCCGAGGGGAGGAGTGGGCAGGCAAGGGGTCTGAGGGGAGGGCTGCAGTGGGGCCACAATGTCCTCTTACTCCCATGTGAAAGCTGTAGGTTCACTTCTTTGAATCTTCTAAACATACTTCTTTTTTAAATCTTTAAGTAGCAAAGTCAGTTTTATTTTCAGTGAACTCATGTTCTACTTTTTGATTTGAGGTTTTGGTTTGGGTGTTGCTAATTTTGAGTGGGAGGTTTTTTGATTTGTCTTCTCTCCTGCCTCTGAGTGTGTCTGTCATTGCCATTGGCTCCATGTGGCTCCCAGGGCACTGTAGGGATCAGGCCTTGGCATGGGCCACTGATCCTGAGGTCCTGAGGTGCTATTGGAGATACCATTCCACCCCCAGGCCATGAACCAGGGCCCTGACTCCAGTGCCTGCCTCACGCCAAGGATGTTTTAGTTTCCTGCACTCAGGAGGAGCCACCGTCCTTGCCACCACCTACAGGGAGCCCAGTACAGGACTGCAGTCCCACTGTCTGCTTGGCTTTCTGTCACGTTGCTGTGGCCCTGGGAGAGTTTGTGTTCGTTTGGAGCCCAGCCTTTGTTAATCTCATGAATTGTGATGATGTGGTTCTAGTGGGGAGGCGGTGTCCAGTGAGAGACTCGCCAGCACCATCTTGACCAGCAGCTAAGAATATGTTCACATGGAGCTTAGCACAGGTCTGGGCCCTAGGCAAGTCTCTACCACCAGCCCATTTGCCTGTATTCTCTCCTTACCATCCTCATTCCTGGCTTTAGGCAGGATACGTATGTGTCCACACCTAGTGAGATTCGCTCCCTGAGCCCTGGAGAGCAGACAGAGGATGATCTGGAGGAAGAGTGTGAGCCAGAAGAGATGCTGAAGACACCATCCAAAGACAGCTTGGATCCAGGTTGGAAAAAGGGCCCTATTTTGAACTATATCGATGTAGGGAATTATTGCTGGGTTTTGCCCATGACTTTGTTTACAGGGCTTGGCACATATTAAAACTCACCAATCAACTGGGCATCGTGGCTCACGCCTGAAATCCCAGCATTTTGGGAGGCCAAGGCGGGTGGATCACCTGAGGTCAGGCGTTCCAGACCAACCTGACCAATACGGTAAAACCCTGTCTCTACTAAAAATACAAAAAAATAGCCCGGCGTGGTGGTGTGTGACTGTAGTCCCAGCTACTAGAGAAGCTGAGGCATGAGAATTGCTTGAACCTGGGAGCTGGAGGTTGCGGCAAGCCAAGATCATACCACTGCATTCCAGCCTGGGTGACAGAATGAGGCTCCATCTCAAAAAAATAGTAATAAAAATAAAATAAATAAAACTCAGTAATCAGGCTGAGCACGGTAGCTCACACCTAGAATCTCAGCACTTTGGGAGGCTGAAATGGGAGGGTCACTTGAAGCCAGGAGATCAAGGCCAGCCTGGGCAACATAGCAAAGCCAATCTCTGGAAAAAAAAAAAAAAAAAAAAACAGAAATTAGACGGGCATAGTGGCACACATCCGTAGTCCCGACTACATGGGAGGCTGAGGCAGGAGGTTCACTTGAGGTCATGAGTTTGAGACCAGCCTGGCACATAGCAAGACCCCATTCCTACAAAAAGAAAAAAATTGGCCAGACATGGTGGTGCACACCTATAGTCCCAGCTACTTGGGAGGCTGAGGCAGGAAGATCGCTTGAGCCCAGGAATTCAAGGTTATAGTGAGCTATGATCACACCACTGCACTCTACCCTGAACAATAGAGTGGGACCCTGTCTGTAGAAAAAGAAAGAAACTCAATAATCATATCAGTCAAGACTCTCACTATAAAAGCAACCAGGTTTAAGTCAGGAAGATAATTTTTTAGTGCCTGAAAATTCAGTAAGATTGGCTTTCAACATGGCTGGATCCAGATGGTAAGATGATGTTAAAAGGAAGTGTTTTTTTGTATCGTTTGGCTCTGCTTTTCTTCATGTCGGCTTTGCTGACAGACAAGCTCTCCCTTTAGTAGGGGAAAAGATACCCCCAGCAGCTACAGGTTTATAAAACACCATAGAGAAGAAAGCACCTCTTTCCTAAGCTCAAGCCATCTCAGGGTTGTGTGGCTCATGTTCCTGGTATGACTTGTGTGCTCACTTCTGAGTCAGTTGCTGAAGTTGTCCAGGTTGGGGCATGTGATCACTCCTGAGGGCAGAGACTGTAGTCAATGCCATCCACTCACACCACCTGACCAGGCATCAAAGATGTGTTTGAGGCTGAGTGCGGTGGGTCATGCCTATAATCCCAGCACTTCAGGAAGCCAAGGTGAGTGGATTGCTTGAGCTCAGGAGTTCAAGAGCAGCCTGGGCAATATAGCGAAATCTCGTCTCTACAAAATATACACAGATTAGCTGGGTATAGTGGTGTGCACCTTATAGTTCCAGCTACTCCGGGGGCTGAGGCGGGAGAATTGCTTGAGACCAGAGGTTGAGGCTGCAGTGAGCTGTGTTGTGCCACTGCACTCCAGGCTGGGTGACAAAGTGAGACCCTGTCTTAATAAATGAATGAATAAATGATGTGGTTGAAGAGGTGAGATGTTCTCTCCTAAGAATCCCCTTTAGACAGGACGCTGTTTTCCAGAAGTCCCCACAGGCTTCCTTCAGGTCCCATTGCATGATGCATCTAGCCTCGAGAGCAGCTGGGAAACAGTGATAAGTGCTGGGTCATTTTAGGGTGAGGCTGGGCTCTCCCAATAAGGGAGACAAAGGCAGGGGCTGACTGGAAGGCAGCAGCAAGGCAAGAAGACACCCTGGGAAAATCAAACGTTGCAGAGCAAGCTCATTTTCCTTGTCACCACCCTCATACCCAATCCAGTGTCCTCCGTAGGTTGGCCCCTTTTATTCTCATGTTATGAATTCTTACAGGCCTTTTCCTACATGCTGATCTACCTCTGTGCACAACCATGGGAGACACATCATATCACTTAGGTCATAAACTGAATTATGGCCAGGTCTGGTGGCTCACACCTGTAATCCCAGCACTTTGGGAGGCCAAGGCAGGTGGATCACCTGAGGTCAGGAGTTCAAGACCAGCCTGGTCAACATGGTGAAATCTCATCTCTGCTAAAAATACAAAGATTAGCCAGGCCTGGTAGAGCATGCCTATAATCCCAGCTACTTGAGGGACTTGAGGCAGGAGAATTGCTTGAACCTGGGAGGCAGAGGTAGCAGTGAGCCACAGTCGTGCCACTGCATTCCAGCCTGGCGCCTAGTGACAGAGTGAGACTCTGTCTCAAAAAAATGAAAAATAATAAATTGAATTCTCCTGCAGATATTGTCCGTAATCTTTTTCCTCTGCAAAGTCTCTCATGCACCTGTTTGTTGGTGAATACAAAGCAGAGGCCTCCGAAATGTTAAGTTTTTCCCCTCCAGGTGGGCATTTAGGTCTTTCCTGATTGCACACCCCTGTTCATGAGGCTATGGGGATGGAGACCACTCCTAGGCCTCCTCAAAATGTGAAGATTTCTCCAGGACAGAGGCTAACGAGTAGCACCACTGGGTCCTGGGGTTATTTTATTTTACTTTAAAAGTTTCATTAGGCCGGGCGCGGTGGCTCAAGCCTGTAATCCCAGCACTTTGGGAGGCCGAGGCGGGTGGATCACAAGGTCAAGAGATCGAGACCATCCTGGTCAAC